GTTAACTGAATACGTGTAATTTTAGACAGCATTGTATTGTAAGGTGAGTCTGGCAGTAGCATAATGATAAGAAGGATCAGGTAGCTCTGGGTCAGTCTCTTGGCCATCCACCGGCAGTATTGGTTGTAATTGTTGTGGGTGAACAGTGCTAGCATGATTCACCAATCAATGTTTATGATGATATAATTAGTGAACATCCTTTGATGATCTCTTACATTTGTTCATGGTGCTATGTGAAGTAATCTAGGCTTGTCTAGGAGCCTTCTGAGTCATCAGATAGGAACAGTAACTGCAATTGTTATTCAGGCTTATTTGGATTCACTGCACACTACGTGATGGAGAAAGACTTACAGAGGGCTCAGGGGGAAGAAGTTAGTGGGAGAGGTTTGCCTCTTGTCCATGAAACTGGAGATGATCTTCAAGTTACTTATCAGGAAGTGGAAGGAACAAGAGAACTCAACTATCAGCAGACCATAGAAGTTCAGCATGTTACTCATCATCAGACATTTGAAACAGAGCATCTCCAGCAGCGATCAGTTGATGTTCAGCAGGTTCAACAGTTTTCTACCCAACATTCTTATGAAGCACAAAATATTACCCACAAGCATTCATTTAGTACAGAGGAAAATTCTCAACAGCAGTTGTATAGCATTCAGGATGGGGTTATTCATCATCTTGATGAAGCAGATCAAAATCAGATTATTCACCAACAGTTAGTTGAGGTTCAGCAAATTACTCAGCCCATTGAAAAAAATCAAATTATTGATACTGTCCTTACTTCTCAGAGTCCCCAAGAAGGAAAGCAGATTCCTCAAGCAGGATTGCATATTGTAAAGCACACTACTACTGAGGAGGTTTCAGGGGGGATACGTCATGTAAAACAATATACAGTTGATAGTCAGGAAAGCTTTCAATTAGAGTACAATACTCAAGAAAAACAAATTGATCATGGCAACTCCACCATTATCACTGGAAAACAGACTGGTGATGAGAAAGATGGCTCATGGCATGATGCTTTAAAAGGTGCCTGGGAGCAAAGCTTTGGTCAGATTGGTGGCAGTGAACAGATATTGGACAAGTATGGGAAAGAAATGTCAGTTGAAAAAATATCTGGCACTGTTGCAAATGGAAAAGGAGATGCAAACATTGCAGAATTTACTGAAGACAAGCAGTATAATTTTAATGGTAAAGATGTTGCTGATGGAGATTCAGAAAATCCTTTTCGAGAAACCTGTCAAGGAACAGAGTGGAAGGAAAGTATTACACAGTGGGAGGATTCAGCCACAGAGAGTGTCACAGCTGGAAAAGTCCGAGAGGGGTTTACTAGGGCATCTGGAAGATCAGCTTCACAGTCATCTAGTGAATGTTCTTTAGATGCTATGAGCTCTCCCAAAAGTTGTGACAAAGGTGCAGTTTTTAAGTTTTCACACTGGACACCTGGTCGAACTCAGTCTGTCCGTCAAATCAAGGTTCGTACGCAAGATGTTCGTCGGACAACAAGCGTTGGAGGGGAAAATGAACCTTGGTATTCTACAATGGAACATCATATCAGAGTCTTAAAAGGTGATATGTTACTTATGGAAAATATAGTGATGTACTCTTAGATATATTTACGTATATAACTATATTTAAAACTTGTATCTACAATTACACCTATAGGTATGGTTATACTTGAACTCACACTCTTACATACACTCATATTTACACTTCTTTCTGTGAAGAAAAATTAATTATATAGGCAGTATATATTTCTCTGAACACTGAAGTATGAGTGAAAGTGAATATTTCCATTTCCAAAAATACTCTAGAATGTGGTTTACATAAGCCATACTAGAACAATCCTTTTTATATTGGAAATTAATAGAGGATTTATGACACCTATACTTATTAGTATACTGATTTAGGTTAGTAATAATAGTAATGTATTTATATTTTTGGCTTTATGATTTGAAAAATGGTGCAGGAATTACCAATTAATTTTTGTACAGTATATAAATTTGTAAGCATTTGTAAGACAATATGCTGTAGGAACTTCCCTTTTTAATTTTTTTGCAATGTTCTTACAAGATAGCAGTTAAGCTGGTGATGCTGGGATGGCTAAGAAACATGTGCATAGATTTCTTTGCTTAGTAATTGTCTTTACACACATGGATGGCTCCACAAGTACTTAATCACCAAAGAGTTAATAACTAGTCCTACCTGTCTCACCTGTTTACCTTTTTTTCTGTTAGTATTGTTAACATTATAAAATTCAAAATATCAATAATGATAATATCATCATTAATATTAGTGGCATCAGAAAGTATTTTTTACAAAAACTCTAGGAACAAGGAAATCAGGTCCTCACCTGATTTCCTCCACATAGTGTACTATTGTGTTCCTTTGTGGATGAACACTTGCAGAGCCATCTATGTGCAAACAAAATTCACAAAAGAAAACTACACTCAATAGTATATTTACCCAGTAGCAATGGGTTTATGATAGAAATAAAATGAGATAATATTTTTCACATGGCATAATAGATTAAATAGAAATGGTAAACTCAGGTGGCATAATATTGAAATTCAATTGTTCCATCATACTTTTGTATAACATTAAATACTATTGTTCATACCTTCCTTTCCCACATACTCTATATATTTTTGGAAATTTCATGTCCACATCATTTGTTAACTCTTTATCTTATCTTTTTTTATCTGTATTTCATTTTCACCAAAGCTTTTGGCATGTTTATTCTTGTTACTAATTGTCTTATAGTCAGGCCTTGAAGTGTCTGATTTCTTCTTTTGATTTTCCAAAAGACATAGCCATTTATGTACAGCAAAAGTTAATTTTTTCTAGATTTCTTTGAAGTGACAATTGAATATATTTTGATAAATTCCTTTTATTCCTCAGATGAGAGAGAGAGCGTGCAGAAGAAGACTTTCATGAAATGGGTGAATTCCCACCTGGTACGAGTGAACGCACGTATAGGAGACCTATATGTGGACTTACGAGATGGAAAGCAGCTCATCAAACTCCTGGAAATTCTTTCAGGAGAGAGATTGGTCAGTACTAATGACTGTGATATATAAGTTAAAAAACTTTTGATATGCTGGACTGAGAATATGTTAGTATGATATAGAACAAGTATGTTTCTGTACATGTAGGTTTTCTTATAGTTTTTGTTTCTCATTACTTACAGCCACGACCGACCAAAGGAAAGATGCGAATTCACTGCTTGGAAAATGTAGACAAAGCTCTCCAGTTCCTTCGTGATCAGCGAGTCCACTTGGAGAACATGGGTTCCCATGATATTGTGGATGGCAATGCTCGCCTCACACTTGGTCTTATCTGGACTATCATCCTTCGCTTCCAGATCCAAGACATCACCATTGAGGAGACTGAGAACCAAGAGACCAAGAGTGCTAAGGATGCTTTACTCCTTTGGTGCCAGATGAAGACAGCTGGTTATCATAATGTTAACATCAGGAACTTTACCACCTCATGGAGGGATGGTTTAGCCTTCAATGCCATCATTCACAAGCACAGGCCCGACTTGATTCAGTATGAGAAATTGTCACGATCAAATGCAATGTACAACCTCAATAATGCCTTCAATGTTGCAGAAAATAAGTTAGGTCTCACCAAACTGTTGGATGCTGAGGATGTCTTTGTTGAACAGCCTGATGAGAAGTCAATTATCACCTATGTTGTCACCTACTACCACTACTTCTCCAAACTCAAGCAGGAGACAGTCCAGGGCAAACGTATTGGCAAGGTTGTAGGCATTGCAATGGAGAATGACAGAATGATTAAGGAATACGAGAGTCTTACTTCAGATTTACTGAAGTGGATTGAAGTCACTATTGAATCCCTAAATGACAGAGTCTTCACCAACTCGCTTACTGGTGTACAAGCGCAGCTCACACAATTCAATACTTACCGTACTGTGGAGAAACCACCAAAATTCGTTGAGAAGGGCAACCTGGAGGTGCTGCTCTTCACTCTCCAATCCAAAATGAGAGCCAATAACCAGAAACCCTATTTGCCAAAGGAGGGCAAGATGATTAGTGACATCAACAAGGCCTGGGAACGCCTGGAGAAGGCTGAGCATGAACGTGAGTTGGCACTGAGAGAGGAACTCATTCGTCAAGAGAAGCTTGCACAACTCGCTGCTAGGTTCAACCGTAAGGCTGGCATGAGAGAGACCTGGTTGTCTGAGAACCAGAGATTGGTTTCCCAGGATAACTTTGGTTTTGATCTGGCTGCTGTGGAAGCTGCAGCAAAGAAGCACGAAGCCATTGAGACAGACATATTTGCTTATGAGGAGCGTGTACAGGCAGTAGTCTCAGTTGCTAATGAGCTGGAAGCAGAACGTTATCATGATATCGAACGTATCAATGCTAGGAAAGACAACGTGCTACGCCTCTGGAACTACCTGCTTGAGCTTCTCAGGCTGCGCCGTATGAGGCTTGAACTGTCTCTACAGTTGCAACAGAACTTCCAGGAAATGATGTATATCTTGGACTCCATGGAAGACATGAAGCTCCGTCTCCTGAGTGAAGACTATGGAAAACATCTCATGGGTGTGGAGGACTTGTTACAGAAGCACTCTCTGCTGGAGGCTGACATCAATGTCTTGGGTGAACGTGTCAAGACAGTAATTGAACATTCTCAGCGGTTCCTTGATGATGAACAGGTTGAAGGATATCGTCCATGTGACCCATCTATTGTGCTGGAGCGTGTGCAACAACTTGAAGATGCCTATGGTGAGCTTGTCAAGTTGGCTGTCGAGAGGCGTCTCCGTCTGGAAGAGTCACGCAAATTGTGGCAGTTCTACTGGGACATGGCAGAGGAAGAAAACTGGATCAAGGAGAAGGAACAGATTCTCTCCACATCAGACATTGGGCATGATCTCATTACTGTGAACTTGCTCTTGACTAAACACAAAACAGTTGAAGAAGAGTTGTTGTCACATGAGCCACAACTCAAGGCAGTTGTCAAGAGTGGAGAAGAGC